CAGTTGGGACTTCCGTCCATGTAGTTAGTATCTATGCATAACAATATATACTCTTAAACCAGGCTCATAAATCAGATTTGACTTCTATTTAGAAGGGGGGCTGCACTAAACTCATACTAAAAGTACAAGTTCAGTATATTTAATTACTAAGCAGTTCCTTTTATAGCCCGACAAAAGGACCTGAATTCAGTAAAACTATTGTAAATTATGCAAATTAAAACTAAACAGACAAGAATATCTGATAATATGTTTATTACCATGTCAACTTTTCATGATAGACCTGATAACGACCATCAGATTAGAGGATGAAGAGAAAGTTAACATTAGGACATCTCTTACAATAAAAATTGGTGAAGACAGAAGCCACACAGAAGAGATCATTCAAGGCAAACTGCAATACCGAGGTACAGTTTGAGTAAGGCATAATAATGCTTCTTTTTAAATAATTTACCTCCAAACCATCTATCCATTATTTTAACCTGCGTCTTCCTTTCAGGGTCATTGAAGCCCATATCCAGCAGTCACTGTACAAGGTGGGGACAACCTGGACAGGTCGCAAGTCCAAAACACATGGTCACATAGAGATAAACGAAACAATAATCTCACACACACCAAGGGACAATTTGGAGTTGCTTATTAGACTAACATTCATGTTTTTGGTCTGTGGGAAGAAATTGGTGTGTCCTAAGAAAACCCAGAGATGACATGCAAACCTAAAAGGTCTCTCAACCTTCTTGCAACAGCTCCACCAACTGAACCAGCATTCCGCCCCACCTCCAAACCATGCAAACCAATTACAAAACACTGGGATAAGCAGTGCGTTGACAATAAGAAGACAYAAAAATGAAGTGTTTGTGTTATCCCTGATGGTGTCTGACATATCCATGGACTGCTTGTTTTCTTCACCTCTTTGAAGACACTATCCAGTGAACAGCTACTCATTGATTGCAAAACTTCTTTCAAGCTTCAAGGCTCACAGTTTTTATTGATCTCCGGTCCMTCTTGTTGATCAGTCAAAAGTTTACACTTTTTTCCCCTCACAATCTTCTAGCTTCCAAGTGCCAGCTGGGAAAACATATGGAAATTTGTTTTGGGTGTACATATCAACTCATCAGTGCACCTGCTTCACTCTCTCCTGTAGTTTAGAGTCAGTTGGCACCGAGTAGGGTCATTAATCTTTGGAGAAAAAAAYATCTTTCAATAAAAGTTGTTCCCAGTCATTAGCCCCAATAATGAGACCAATGACTGTGAAAGATATCTGCTGCACAAAGACAGACACATTTATTTAAAACACAATTCAATCATCGGTGATCTGAGTAAAACAACTTCCTATTAGAGCTGACCTCAGGCTAAACATCACGATCCTAAAGGGAGGAGCTCTCTGGTGTTGTTGAGGAAAAGTAAAGGTTAGAGCTGATTAGTTGCCTCCAATCAACACACTTGTTCCGTTCAATTATAAATGTGAATCAACCCTCTTGATTTTGTGGCCACTGTTTAAAGCAAAAATAGATTATGTCTCGGTTATGTTAAAGATTCTCCAACTGCAAAATGTCTTTCTTTCAAATACCAAGTAAAGTGAAGGACCAGTTTACTATATAAAGTCTTGCACAGATGGAAAAATGCACAATTTATTTAAAGGTCAGTAGGAATATACATGGTCTCTTCCCATCTGTTGACATTCGCTGCCTTCTGGTTTGCAAATATCTTATTTTCAGCAGCACCAACGCACARAGGAAACAGCAATACATTATTGAACAGCCAAATAAAATCTGAAACAGGTGCAGGCTCAAAACATGCCACAGTTGTAATTCGATCAGACGCTCCCACTYAAAATGCCTGCTAAGTAATATTTATAATACATTGTACTGAAGTTATGCAGAGTGTGAACCTGATTGCATGTAGGGCAGGATTTACATTTTTTTAGGATAAGGACCCTGTGTGTAAACTTCTCATATTATTATTATTTTTTTCAGCTTCTTGTGAATCAGGACGAGTCAATTACATCCTTATGAAATCCAGTTATTTTGAAGGCTGTGTGGTGAAGCCCAGAGGCCTCCAAAGCAAAAGCGCAATGAAAGCAGCAGCATCCTACATTTGTTTAAAGCATCTAACACTTCGAAAGACACTGGAGAAAAAAWGGGAATCCTTAGTAGCTCTCTGACATCCAGTGTTTTTCATTTACTTGGTTCTCATCCCCCCCCCATGTCTCAGTATGCACTAAATGAGAGAWAGAAGTTGAACTCGACATTATAGACCATAAATAAATGATTAAAAGCCGTCTGGCTGTAGGCTAGCACTGCTTTTTGATGGTCACAGGGGAAAATAACCCTGATTGTG